GTATTAAAACAGTTTTTTAAATATTGCGCTAAAGGAATTGACATTTTCTCGTACTTAGTAATGATATGAATTTATTTTCATTACTAAATTTGTCAAAATTTGGTATACATTTATTAGCTACAATGTAAAGTTTTGATCTTATTTCGTTGTAATGAGGACAATTTATGACAAAATGTTGTTCATCTTCAACATGGTGATTGTCGCACATATTGCAGACTCTGTCTTTAAAAGTCCAAACCTATATGCCGACCTGTTTCAATTTTCAGACAGTGGTTGCCAAGTCTAAATTTTGCTAAGGATTTGCGAAGTTCATTGTTTTTCATAATTGTTAAGTATTTTTCTTGTTCAATTTTGGTTTTAAAAAGTTTGTAGGTTCTTAGTTTAATAAATAAATTATCGTCAGCAGTCCCTGACTGCCCAACCTTATTCTCTGTCTATCGCTTCTTTGACTTAGCCTAGTTTTGACAGTCATTTAATGGGTATTTATTTATTATCAATCACTACTGATGAGATCAGTGGGTTGCCCCTTCGACAAGAGGTGGTGGAAATGTCAAAGGTGAATAGTGAAGTCAGAATGGCTGGATTAAAGGCTTACATATGTATCATGTATGTATTATTAAGTTTGAATGTCTGAGATACAGATGTGGACGGACACGCATGGATGCATGAACATTGTATTTTTAAGAGATTACCCCTATTCAACATTATAACATTTCACTGTTGTTACACGTGCCATGATTGGTTGAAACTCTGAACAAGCAGCCTCTCGGCTGAGATAGCTCTGCTGTTAGCAATGCATATTTCTATTAAAGAACTGAAAATATCAGAGAGGTCTATCTGAGGTACCTACATGTATAACATCAAAGCAATCAGACTTGCGTTTTTAACAAGAATTTGAAAATATCACTTTTTACCAAAAATAACAAAAATATTCATCAAAATTAGAGAATTGAAGATATCATCTTGAAATTAACAAATCTGACAGAGGTCCACATGTAGTACCTATATATGTAATATCAAAGCAATTGGACTTGCGGTTTTCAACAAGAAGTCGTAAATATCACTTTTTACCAAAAATGACAAAAATTATATTCACCAAAATTAGAGAATTAAAGATATCATTACAAAATGAACAAATCTGAGAGAGGTCCACATGTAGTACCTATATATGTAATATCAAAGCAATTGGACTTGAGGTTTTTAACAAGAAGTCGAAAATATCACAATGTTGACACAAACAACGACGATGGTATATCACATGGATAATTAAAACCACTGTGCATAACAAATTGACATCACTGCACTGCTGTTGTTGCTTTCAAGGTTTTGTAGGAACTTTAGCTATCTGAAATAGACAGCCAACATGTCAGAATAGATACTCCATGTTTCTTTATATGAAGCAAATATGTATGGGGAAGCCACCATTGAAATGTTTTCTGGCAAATATGGACTGAAAAAAGTTTAACTTTGAATACTATTACAAGTCATTTATATCAGCTGGAAACATGAATCGTGTGTGACGTCTTCTTGAATCCCACTAAACTTGCGTGTGAACTAATAACACGACCTTCACAGTTCTATAGCTATGTCGGTTAAATTTTTAGTAAATCAATAAACTACTCCGGTGTGCTCGCTCATCAGGCATTATGATGAAAGATGAAATGAATGCGGGTAACGCTGGCACAGGGTGATACTCAAATTTGTGTTAATTGTAAGTGGAAACGCTTTGGAAATGGAAATGCAGACGATCGGGGAGAAGATCCCACGAAAGGTTTGACCGCTAGCGGTGTAATGATCAATGAATTAGACTGTTTTCTTATTAATAAAATTGACATTTTACCGACGGACATTTTAGCTAAGCTATGTGTCGATCACTTTGAAGACGATGATATTGATTTCGCGAAGAGAACATTATTTGATCTCTGTTGTAACGATATCACTTCGAGATTTATTAAACGGCAGGGACACAACAAACGGTCTAATAATGTACTTGATATGATAAAGCTCATTCATGAAATTGATGAAGAAAATTTACCTTGTTTTGTGGCAAAGAATTTGACCAAGTTACCTCCATTTGACATAACACATGTGGACGTATCTTTTATGGCAAAGAAGCTGAAATCATTAAGGCGTGAGGTATTGGAACTTAAATCAGAGACAAATAAAGACTTGATGCAGGATTTGAGCTTTATTCGCAAGAAACTTAATCAGTTGAAATCTCGGCTTAGCTCACCAAGGGTGGATGATGTCGAATTGAATCTGCCGTCAGCTATTGAACGCGAAATAGAACCTAATGCCAATGAATTGATAATACGTGAAACAGACTATAATTTAGGTAGGCCTATACCCAGACATGCGATTGGAAAAACACCAACTCAGATGTCTGAGCAAACTGAATCAGTTTCGTATGCTGAGATTGCAAAAACACTCCGACATGACGTAACCAAGAATGTGCCACTTAAGTGGAACAGAGAGACTGAATCAACAGTTGGTGTAACTAAGAATGCAACACCTGTAGTGTCGACTAAAGTCATCAGTAAATCAACAAGCAACTATAACAATGAATTTACTATAGTACAAAGGCGCCAGCAACCAACAGTTGGGACAGCAAAAGTCAATGATGCTCGTACTATCAAGGTAGCTCATTCTAGCCCTCCTTTTAAATTATTTGTCACAAGACTTGCTCCATCTACCACGGAACAGGATATCTGTAGTTATGTAAATCAGGTGTTTGATATAAAAGTGAAATGTGAAAAACTTGAGACGAAATTTGATACATATGCCTCTTTCCAAGTAAAAACTACGATTTCTCTAGCAAGATGTCTTTTAAGTCCGACGTCATGGCCAAATGGCATTTTAATTCCTAAGTTTTATTAACCGCATCGATATGAGGAATATTAAAATAGCTACTTTTAACTGTCGGGGATGTAAGTCTTCTGTTGATGCCATTCGTGAGTTGTGTGATTCACATGATATAGTCGCTATTCAAAAACACTGGCTAACTAAAAGTGAGCTTACCCTATTGTCGAATATACACAGGGATTTTTATGCTAATGGGGTATCGGCTATGGATGACGAGATTGGTATCGGTGTTGGTAGACCATTTGGTGGCATGACCTTCATGTAGCGTAAGAAACTGGGTAATTTTGTAAAAATCATCGATTCAAAGGACACCAGACTTATGGGGTTAAAACTTCATTCAGAACTTTCTAATTTATTGATTTTATGTGTGTATCTTCCTACTTGCTCCAAAGATAATTATGATGACTATTTGATGTATTTAGCTAAAATCAATGGTATTATTCATGATTTTGATTCTTCAAATGTGATTGTAATTGGAGATTTTAATGCCAGTCCTAAATCTGCATTTGGCCAGGAACTTGAACATTTTTGCTGTGATAATAATTTATTCATATCCGATGTTGATCATTTAGGTACAGGGGATAACAATTTCACGT